CCTCCTGGTATGACCACTCTCAATAATGGTCCCAAGGAGTTTATCTGTCCTATATCCCCTGTGTTTCCAGCTCTTACTTGTACCCATGTACATGCTCTGCTCTAGCCAGATTTGTAAGGTAGAATTAGGGTCATGATAGTGGGGGGGGGTGGCGCATTAAAGAACCAAAAGAAAGCTGTATGTTTCATCGGTGTTACACTGTACTGACTGGCCCGTCTTCTCCTCAAGACGCTTCTGTAAGGGTATGTCCAAATGTTTACAGATTGGTGGTAAAATTAGGTGCCTCGGCTGATATTCGGGTTGCCTTATACTCAAGTATATACGGTATATGAAAACATCAGGTTTCAGAAAACCTCCTCTGGATGGTAACAAAACAACAGAAAGCCACCAAATTCTTTACCTGTATTAAGTCACCTCTTTTGCTCAACAGCCCAAGAAGCATGCTGCTGTTATCACCCCCATTTTTAAAGATATGGAAACCGAGGTGCCTGAGAGGTTAAATACCATGCTCAAGGGCCATCTGACTGGTAAGTGATGGAGCCGTGACTGGAACCCAGACAGGCTGGCTCCAGAATCCACGCTCTCAACCACTTCTCATTAAGACAGAGTTGTGAGGCAGCACAGGCAGACATGTAATAGGCCATTATACCAAATGCACCCATAACACCAATTAGCATTAGCATAAACTGAGAAACGTGTGTGGGGGTGCCTGAGCAGTTAAAGTGGTGAGTGAAGAATCGTATAGAAATTTTTCAGCATGTCAAAACCAAGGAGTCAAACCAGAGGGGAGTGCCTAGCTAGTTGCAGGGCCTAGACCTTGGCATCTTTGTACCTGTGAGCCTCCTGGTGCTGCAGAGTACAAACCCACCTGCCAGGTAGCCTCTTCTTGAATCGAGACCACACAACACAAAGGAAAGAGTGAAAACTCTAGGGGCAGCGCTGTGGTGCCAACTTGCTATTTCCTCTTTCGAGGTCTTGAAAGTGTCACAGATATCAACTATTCTCTAACATGTGCCCTTCATGTGTGAGGTCCCAGTAATAAGATTGGCAGTTATCCACTCTCTATACATGAAAACTTTCCATTCTAGCCCAGGCTATCGAATCATACTTTCCATCTGCAGAGTCTTTCCAATTCTTACTAACTCTTTGAATATTTTTCCCTGTCCCTGGAAAAACTGGAACCTGTTTTAAATCTTCCATTTGATTCAATCACCTTTCATCATCTTAGAAACATCACCTGCTTGCACCTTGCAGGCGCTGGCACTCTCTCTCTCTCTCTATGTATACACACACACACACACACACACACACACACACACACACACACATATATATATATGAATACAAGTCTTTGTTGAGGTGGAATCAAGAAATAGGACAAGTTCATAAGAAGAAGGACGAAAGTCACTCTCCCCCAGTTGTAAGCTCCATATCCCCCAGTTGCTCACCTTGTAAATTCCTCATGGGCAGCTCCCTCATGCCGGTTTTATTTGTGGCATAGTTGGATAAGACTGCCAAAGCATAGGTGTTTTCATAAAGTAAATTTCCTCTAATGATCTGCAGATTTTCCAAGGGAATCCTCTCCACCGTGTTGAGGGCAATGAGTACGTAGCCAGCCACCTCCTGGATGGTCTAAGAGGTAAGACAGACACATGTTGAGAAAGAATACCGGGATTTACTAGGCTGAAAGGTCATGCCAACGAGTGGCTAAAAACAAAGCAAGCAGATGAATGAAAGTGGGGAAAGGGGAGGTGATGGGACCTACAGCGATTCCTGTCCTCATGTTGGACACCACTGGCATTTATATATCAGATGCTCTGTGTTGTGTAGAAAGGCAGTGCCTGTCATTTACTTGGTGTTCAATTCACTCAGCTGAAAAATGCAACTGTTCTACAAAATATTTTCTTTCAGTTTGCACACTCTCCTATTTCAAAAAATTGAAACCCAGAGGCGGGCAAGCAAGCAAATCCAGTCAAGGCTCAACAACCAATAAACTCGGCAGTCTTCAGAGGCAAAGATTTCTGGCTCTCTTGAGCCTATTGTTAAATACCCAGGAATTTCGTCAACTGGTTTTTAAACTCTTGGTAGCTTGAAGTCAGCCATGGTTGGAGTTTTTATGCCAAGGATATTGGCAAATGTTAGAAAGGAGTACCTTTTCCTTCTTTCCACTTTACCAGCACCTCACTCCTTAAAATAGTGGGCTTTAGGGACTTATGTCAGTGTCTGAAATGATACTGAAACATTAGACTAGTCTGCTTCTCATTGATACTGTTTTCTAGCTAAAGCTTGGCACTAGCCTGTAAACTGGTCTTCTCATAAAACTCTCACCTACAATTCCTCAGGTCTTGTAATTGCTATAGCACACGCACATGCATCTAAAATTAAGTTCTACCAAGGCCTTTATCTACTTTATCTACTCCTACCATATTTGGGCAGGAAAATGAAATTCCATCAACTAACCTTTAAGAAGGTAAGGTCATAATTCCTTTGCACATAGGTAATTTCCAAATTCCCAAGGACCACTTCGCAGTTATTGAACATCCTCTGGAGACTCAAATAGTGATCTTCGAAAGTGCCCAACTGCGTGAGCTTATTACTCGTGCCTTGGCAAACTGAAAGAAAAGCGAAAGATGCCATGTGAAATGAAAAACCCAAAGGAAATAAAAAAAAGCAAAGCGAAAATAAAGCAACCGTCAAGAACTTCAAGTCACTTGTTGAGATTTAATGACTTAATATTGATTCTGATCAAAAGACACTTCATGGCAAAATACAGATGGTGTGGTTCATAATACGGACTAGCTCATCCCTACAACACACAGAATTGCATTATATTGAGATGCACCAAGGAAAAAGATGTTAACAATTTGAGGAGAAATCAGTGAAAAGTCTATGAAGGTCTTTAGGATAGAATAAGCCCACAGGAGCTCAGGAAACAAAATACATAATGTCAGAAGGCCTTGTGAGAGTCAATGAAAATTTCCATTGACAAAAAGGATACCATGTCACACCATCACAGAGCCAGCGAACATCTGCATACAGGGAATGCACTGGGGGCCACAAGAGTGGAAAGCCTACAATCAATGATCGGGTATAAAACTTAAAAAGCCCAAATGGCTGGAGATTAAAAATATTCTTCTAAACAACATAGGCATCACATTAAAAAAAAATCCAAGATGGATGATCAAATATTTAGAAAACTTAAGCAGCACACACAGCTAGTGAGAAATCAGCATGTTCTGTTTGGCTCACGCCACATTCATATACACAGCACACAGGTGTGGTGCCCTGCTCTGCAGTCACATGCACAGCACACAGGTGTAGTGCCCTGCTCTGCAGTCACATGCACAGCACACAG